GTTTCCATTAACTACCTAATCCAAGACATCCCATCTTAGCCTGCTCTTGAGTAGAGCTTAAAACAATGAGTCTCTCATCTCTTCCTAAACTCTACTGCACTCTCATTGAGGACAGATTAACACTGCTTGAGTTCAGGATGTCTCTGTTTGAGTCTTCCCAGCTGCAGGCGTGCAGCGTGAGCCGTCCTAATCCTGCCTCTGCAGGGCCACACCTGTCCCAATGCAGCACCAGAGGCAACCAGAGCTGGAATAAGTTAGGGCGTGTGAACAAGTCAGAGTTCTCAGGTGGACTGACTCCGATGCAGCATGATAAAGCAATCCCTCCCCACAGGGTTTTCAGCAGGTTAGTACTTACAGTAAAGACACAAGCAAAGATTTATCACAGCACGGCTGGAAGCTAATTAATAGTCTCATCAGTGAGCGTTCCCACAGATCACTGACTTATGCTAAACAGGATGTTAATTATCACGTCACCAACCAGGGCTCTGTCAGCCATAAAAAACTAAGTATTAAATATTAAGCTTGTGTTTAATTTGGAGATGATCCGACCTGATCTTCTAGCCAACCCAATGTGGACCGCATCAAACTTAGTCAGTCCTTAGAGTATCCCCTTTCTGCCTCCGTTTAGCCAAGATGAATAGCTAATTAATGTAGAAAAAAATAAAGAGCTTAAACTCAGATACAACTGGATTTCTGTATGTGTCTGTGATTTCATGAAAACAAACCTTCCAAACATTAAAACCCAGAAACCCTAAAATCAACACACATCACAACACTTAAAAATAACTAAAATACACATTTAGTTGAGTTTTTCCTCTGAATCAGGTATGTCCTATAGGGTGCTGTACTAGGGGTGTTCAAGGTTTCTCTGCTTTAGCACAGATGATTCTGATGATTGCAGTTAAGGGAAAAAAAACAGGTAATCAGCCATCAGTGGAAATCAGCTGTGAGGGAAACCTTTGAAAACTGCAGGACAGCAGCCATTGAGGACCGACTTTGGACATGCCTGCTCTAATTCAACAACAAATCAAATCCAGGGAAATGTTAATGTATAGTAAAATTGCTAATCCTCTGTGGTTTGATTGTTGTGCCAGCGTCTTGCCTCTTGACCTCTGACCTTCCCTGTGAAATGCTCTCTGGTCCTGTGGCTTTTAACTTTTTCTTTTTTTTTGTAAAATAACGCAAGATGACAGCAGAACTACTGCTGCAATTGGCATGCTCAGTGACGTTTACAACATTAACTAGAATCATGCAAGTTTTTTTTTATTTTATTTATCTTCTGCTGATTCTGATGCAAATTAAAAAGCTTAAAACTTTCAGCCTTCTTTAAAAATACAAAATATATATCGAAGCAAAGGAGTCTACCTTGCTAGAGTTAAAGCATCATATTGTCTCAAAATCCAGTTGAAATGCTCTTCTTCAGCCATCTCCCCGAAAAAGAATTTGTTTTTACATTTTTGCTTAATTTAGTCAGATATTTAGGAATCATTATTATATGTCCTGAAGGTCAAAAGGCCCGCAGCAACACAAAAGGAGCTGCTGATAACATCTAGTTGGATCCTACATGTGAAAACTATCTTCTGTATTCTCCATATTTCACAGTGAAGGAGAAAGTCTGCAACAGAATCCCTTTATTACAAAGAAAAGTCCCCAGACCTTGAACACCCTATTTGAAAATGTGTTATGGTCCAATGGTTTAGAACCAAAAAGGATGTCCACCAATAAAATACTATAAGACAGTGAAGCATGGTGGTTGCAGCATCATGGTCTGAGGTTACTCGTCTTCACATTATGCTGAGATTTAACTGGTATCTTTCAACTAGAATGTTTTGGCCCCTAACTCCAGGTTAGAACACTGAAGACAAAGAGCAACTTTCAGACAAAGTCTCTGGAGTGACCTGAACACGGCAGCAGACTGAATCAGATTTGGAGAACTTTAACAGGCAGAGAGGGTAAATACGAAGATGTAGGATACTCATAGACTCCTTTTGAAGTCCAAACACTTGAACTGAGTAAAAAGTTGCCTCAACATAACACTTCCCGTTATCAAAGACATTGCAGTCTTTAGGTTTTCTTTAAATTTCCCTTTTATCTGACTGTTTTTGTGTGTTTTAGTTGATCTGTGCAGAATAAATTTAGTCAGGAAAAGAAAAAAAAGTTTTTAAGTCTTCTAGAATTGAAAAACTGACCTTAGATAGAAACCTTTTAACCAATCAGTCTGAATGATTTGATTGAATAACTCTATAAGTGCCCTCCAGATGGTGTGTGGTGAGTTGGTGCTATATAAATAAACTGATTTAATTCCAAGTTATTTATAATCTCTATTTTTAATATCCATCACACACCAGAACCTTTTAAGAGAGGTCCAAAAACCTTTCAGACCTCCCATGTATAAATTATAGCAACATCACTGCATCGATTTATGATCCTTTCTGCATCATGGGTCATGTTTCATGCTGCATACGTCTTCACTTAAACTAATGTCTGATATATTAAGGCTTCAGATTAAATCTAGACCCATTTTGCGAAAGTTCCTGCAGAGAGTATGGTTAATCTCATCAAGGACAGAGAAAGAGCCCTTTCAGGTCCTTACAGACTGATTTTTTTGCAGATTCCTCTTGACAATAGGAAGAGGAATCAGCCGGTAGTATCGCACTGCAAAAAGCAGAAACTAATTCTACAGGAGCCTTACCTCCAGCTGAGATATTACAGAAAATATGAATGCTGGTATTATCAGTGATAGGTAACAGTAAAAGGGAAAGCTAAGGTTTACTTTGCAGCAGTTAAAAGCAGGAGGCTATCTACTGATTGATCTAGAGAAGATAAATGGTTCATATAAAATACAAGTTGATATTGTGGCTCTGATATGTAAAATTTAAAATATAAATGTAAGTTATTTAAGCTGTATTCATTTAAAATTCCTGTTAAATTGTTTCCATTCCAGGAATAAAGGATTGTCTGTCCTGATGAGTTATAGTCTGTGAGCCATGAATGCAGTGATATTTCTGTCTGACACATTTAGCAGATTTTTCCAGTGGGACTTTTCTCAGCCAGAGTGCACAATTAAGGAATAAAATAGTAGCTGTAGAATGGTTAGAGATATACTCACACCATTTCACATGTTCCATGTTGATGACTTCTCTTCCCCCCAAAAAAATCCCATCTTTAAACAAAGTGTTTTGAAGAATGTGACTTTAGCAACTAATAGGAGGAGCAAATTTTTTAGCAGCTTTCTTTTTTTACAGCCTACAATCTAAGCTTTTAACTTCAACATACTTTTATCATCTTCTCATAATGCACTGTTGGACATTTTTTTACTTTTTTATTTTGTAATCTGAAATAGATTACTTTAAATAAAGTCACAGGCAGCAATCTACTCTGGGGTAATGAGTTTGCGGATAAGAAACATCAAACTATTAGTGATGAGCTTAATAAATACTTGCCTCTGAAGAAAGACTAAACCCATTGATTAGAAGCCATAAGAAGTCCTGTTTTAAAGCTGTAAAGGACACAGCAACAACGGAAGATGATCAAAATAAGAGAAAACTTGGGTCCTGTGGCATACAAACAAAACATTATGTATGACAAAAACTAGAACAGCTCGCGGCTCACCTCTCAGCAGAGCACGAGCATGCACATTCAGCAGGAGCAGCGGTGGACTGGTTTAGATCCGGTCTATTCATTTTTTAGAACGGCCTACTCAAAGTACAGCCATAAATATCAGTAAGAATTTGGGGCAAGACTTGGAAAATAAATGTTAACAGGTTCTCTGCATGCACTCTGAACTGAGCGTGAGCTGCCCTGTTGCATTAGGCTGGTAGAGAGAAACCCTCTAAAAAGGTTTGTAAAAAGTAGGAGGGTGACTATAAATGCACTCCACAGCTGGGATATTTTAGAGATCTACTTGACATTGTGATACCCTGTAATGGTTCATCATTTAGTATCACAATAAAAAAGCAATATTCCTGCAACCTGCCAAATGAAAAGGATGAAAACGGATATTCCAGTTGCAGAACAGTTCTCAGCTAACAAAACAAACACTCCGGTTTGACAAACTGCTGCAGACTCAATGATAAAGTGACCGTCTGCTGTGGCTCCATGTTCATCCAGGGGGAGCGAGTTCTTCAAAGTCAGTGACTCCACGCAATAAACTGGCTTCCTTTAGATATATAACTTCTAACCAATCTGTCTAGATGTTTTTATTGAATTGTCTTCATAAAGTACCTTAAGATGATGTGTTGTCATAAAAAGCTGCATGAAAACAAATGTAAATTTTAATAAATCAGCAACAGTTTCAAGTAATTAATTTAACATAAAACAACAGAAACTGCAGCTTTGGGTTTTGATGATTTGCGCCAGAGCTCCCTCAGCTCAGTTTTCCAGTTGCACTTTGATGCAAATCAATATTTATTCATTTGCTAATGTGCATCTGTCTCTTCTATATTCTGATCAGTGATTTGATTAACTGATTTGAGACCAATTTTCAGTTGATAATATATATTAAAGATCATATTCATATCCACGATTCGATTGAGAAATGTTTAATTAACATGATGAATTTATTTTGTGGAGAACCCGAGATTCAACAGCTAGAAAAACGAATATAATAACCACCAGTAGAGGGCGCGAATCATCGGACACTGTTTGGTGGACAGCTCCTGGTGCTGAAAACTCAGCAATCACAGAAACTGCACAATCGAACTGCCACAATTCATGACAAAAACACAAACCACGAGCAGCGCGTGGATTCCACGCATCCCCAGACTCTCGTAGATGCAGGAATACATTAAAAGGTTCATGGGAATTTGTCTTTCGTTTTACATATGTAAGAGAGGGGAAGGATATCTCATTTCCCTGAAACCAAGTCCAAAAACTTAAAGAGCAGCAAAGTGGTGGATAGCATGAGGGTAAAAGAAAAATAGGACTGAATGGAAGAAAAAGAGTAGAGAGAAAAGGAGATAGAGTGGATGAGTTCAGATTTGAGAGGATGAACGACTCACTTGGTTAGTGAAGAGCTGTGCGCTCTCGGAGATGAGCAGCTGGACCAGGATGTGCAGCCCGGAGGTGAAGAGCCCGGCCAGGATAGCCCAGGTGAGCGGCAGCGGCAGCATGCTGTAGGTGGCGAACAGCGTAAAAAGGACATACCCCACCCCGTCCCCCAGCAGACCGTAGCCCAGGCCGGCCGCCAGGATCTGCGTGGCCATTGCCACCCAGGTGACCACTCCACTGTACTGCAGGTAGCTGTGCGAGGTGGTGTCCTTCCGCACCACCACTAAGGCACAAATGACCACCTCTATGCCGGTGAAAAAGCCCAGCAGCATCCCCTTGATGGGGTCCATGGGGCTGGATGCCAGGGTGAGGTGCAGCACCAGCAGGGTGAGTTTGGTCACCACGTCCAGGATGTTCATCACCACCACGGATTTGCGCCTCTGGCCCAAGAAGTAGCGCTGGTAGAGCCGCTCCAAGTCGCGGGACTTAAAGGCGTTCCGCAGCGTGGGGAAGATGACGCCCCGGTATGTGTAGCCCCAGTTCAAGAAGAAGTCCGAGTTGCTGGGCGCGCAGTCTATTTGGAGGAACCCCAGGTCGCTGCTGGCGCGCTCAGGGAACACTTTGGTCCCACCGTTGTTGTGCCGGTCCCCTACCGAGGTCCGACCCGCGGACTGCTTCCGCGCGCCCTGGATCGGGTCAAAGGGGTCGTCTTTGACCCCGCCGCCGCCGCCCTGCTCGTGGATGAAGCGCTGCTCGGTGATGTGCCGCACCGCGTTCTGCCACAGCAGCCGTTTTGGCCGCGCGCTGCCGCCGCCGCTGCCGCTGCTGTTGTCGCTGCTGCTGGGCGTCTTGTTGATGGTGTACAGCTCCTCAGTGGCGCTGGAGCAGCGCACCTCCGACAGCTCCATCCCTCCGCCTCAGCTCCGATCGTCTGTGTCAATGTGTCTCCCCCCTTCTCCTCCTTCTTCTCCTCCACTCCGGACTGTCAGTCGGATCAGCGGTTCTAGGGGCACGACGTCTTCTCGTGCGCATCGAACCGAGGGCGCGTGCTTTTCTTTCGGGTTGGGGTGTGAACGGCGCGGGGCAGAGCGCGGCTGGAGGTCATTGTCAAGAGAGCAGATCCCTTAAAGAAGCACTGGTACCACTCCCGCCTCTCCTGGACCACCCATCATAATCCCTGTGTAGTAAAATCACCGGCTGGTGCGTCCACACAGCAGCAGCAACCTGAGCCACTGTGACCACACCGTTGGCACCATCGGGGGGTCTCGGCGCCGCGCCAAACCAGGACCCCTGAAAAACGAGGCGGGTCGCAAAGTGAGATTATGTTTCAAATTACCACGATGAAGGAAATCCCAGTTTTTCCCTTACGGTTCCCAAAAATGATCAGCAGCCGTGGGGGAAAAGGCAGAGCAACAAATCCATCAAATCCAAATTAAGAATCCAGAGAAAATTGATCATCTCAAACTTGTTGCTGCGCGTGAGCCTCCACATTCAAGACCAGAGCTCCATCCCGCGTGATGATAGCACCTGTCTGACTGCGCGAGGCAAACAGGCATGCTCCCAGTCAGTAAGTAAATAAGGCGTCCGATGCGTCTCCGTGCAGCGCGAGGATGAGCTTCACCCTCCTCCTCCTCCTGCTCCTCCTCTGGTCTCTCCCTATCAGACTGCCTCGGTTCCTCCTCCTCCTCTGTAGTGTTTAAAAGCGGCGGCCGCGTGCAGAGGCGCAGAGAGCGGCGGCTGGTCTCCTCCGCTCTGCTCCGCTGAGGTTTTTGACGTCACCGATGTATGTGCGCCCTCTCTCCCTCTCCCTAACCCACTGTGTCATCCCACGCTCCTCAGCTCATCCTTTTGTCTGCTCACTCTCTGCTTCCCTCCTCACTCCACGCCTCCTTCCTAAGATCCGTCTCTTCGCTTTTCCTGTCGGTAACTGGGTCACTTTTGGATCAGGCGCAGGCAGCCTGCATTTTGGATGAGGTTGCAAAGGATTTCCTCGGGATTTCAGTTGAAATCTGGAAACTTGATTTTATTGACAGAGACCTAACCAAATGTTATGAGTTTCGCATGGAAAATTTCTGCTTTCCAAGGCCAATTCAGTATTTGGCAAAATCTGACAGCAGAGATCAGATCCCCATAGAATAGAATAGAATAGAATAGAATAGAATAGAATAGAATAGAATAGAATAGAATAGAATAGAGAAGCTGTGGGTATGTATTTTATTGGTAAATGAATTGTTGTTAGTTGGAAAGAATTAGTCTGCAGGTTGTTAGGTGAAATTGTGTTGCAGCTTTACGGTCTCCTCCAGGTTTGAACAGACTGAATCTTTTTGCACAAACACATATTAGCTCAGAAGCAGTCAGTTTGGATGGAGATTAACAATCAGCTACAACAACTTTTTGCCACAGACTCCTTTAGGTTTGGATTTTGACTGATGAAGGCAAACTTTATTCTAAATCGATCCAGTTGGGTTTCTAGTGTATATACCCACATTCAACTTAACATTTGGGTGCTTATTTCTAATGCAAGAATGCAAGAATCTGAATTTAACTTTAAAGTCAAGGTATACATGAAGGGTAAATATGTCAAGTTTTCAATTTATGACATTCATTTTTATGTTCCCATTTTTAATTGAGAACATTATGGTTTGATTTATGCTTTAGCTTCAGTTCTGTTTTTGCTGATTAAAACTTTTTTTTTATGTTTTATTATATCCATCTAAAATAGGTTCCAGATTATAGTTCACTTTTGGGGAGAGTTTGTGTTCACCCTTGTAGTAGTAAGACCCTTGTTCAGAGGTTTACTGTTTTTTTTTTACATTCGTGACATTAGACATTCGTGTTTTGGCAGCTGGCTAAATTCGGCTCAAATATCAATAAAGCTCAGAATGATAAAGCTGTAGATTTTGTCTAATCTGGGGCTCGTGGCCCCCTCGGATGTTTCAACAGTAAACTCCATATTATCCATTTAGAAAATTCCCCAGAGATCTTTGCATTGCTGATCTTTTACCACTCTGATGCTGGTTAAAGAGAGATTAGCCACCAAGTTGCCTAAAATATAGACAGAATGTGGTAAAATCTGCTTGAATGAGGTTCCATCGTCCTCTTGCTGTGTGTGAATCTCTTGCCCCACTTTTCCTTATCCGTGAAACGTTGTGCCAAGGCCTGTCAGTGCTCGCTGGACTCGGATTAGATGGGGTAAAATTACTCCCTCCTAAACCTCGAGTTCCCTGTGAGGAGATGCAACCCCCCACGCACAGCTCCAGGCAGAAGGGAGAGTCGACTCATTGCTATTCAGTCTATTTTTACCTCGTCTCTTCTGCCCTGTCTATGCAGTAGCTCTTCCTTCTGCTGATTCCCAAGAACAGAGAATTACAGAAATCCAAACAGTCAGAATCAAACATTCCTTTCCCCATCCCAAAGTTGAGCAGTGAAACAAATGGGAGGGAAAACTCCTGAGAACCTCTACTGCAGAAACAGAAACTGCAGCATTTCCATAACAAACAGCATACATAACACAGAAATTATATTTTTTGGGAAATTCGATGTAGGCATAAGGGGATGAAATATAATGCAATCTAATGGGGATGACTAAAGTCAAATGTGGCTCAGTTTCCAATAGAAGATATCAATTTAATAACAGTATGGCAATATTTGACCTGTCAAATCATGTCATAGTTAATGAAAGTACCGTATGCCCACGTTCACTACTAGAAATTGGCTTTACTATGTTCTAAAGTGATTTAAATATAACCTTTAATATCTGATCAACCCCACAGATTAAAAATAATTCCAAACTAAATTCCCCATTTGAAACAGGAATGATTTTAGGCAGTTTGTTGGTCTAAAACAGTTAGACTTTGGTGATCTTAACCCACGTAGTCAGAGGGTGAAAAAAACATCATTACCATTAGATCAAATCCTGAATTTAAAATTGTGAACAAGTTGGGATGAAAACTATTTCTCCTTCAGCTCAGGGGAGAGTGAGGAAAATCTTAGACAACAGAGGTCTGTTTCTGAGATTAAACATGTATTTCCTTTAATTAACTTACTGTAGAAGTTTTTGGCTTTTATTGAGTTGGAAAATAACACATGCTAGAAAAAGCCCTGGAGGAGATATCAAGTAAATGTGACATTAACAATAGGCCTGCATGAACTACTAAATCCTGACACCACAAAATGAAGATGTTTAAATAGCAAGGTAGTTTTATTTATATAGTAGATTTCAGTAGCAAAACAAGCAAAGAGCTGTACATGGAAAAAATAAGTGAAAAAGTCCTTATAGTAGCAAAAAGGTCATTAAATCATTACTGAACACGAATTAGTGAAGAAAAAAATATCCTGATAAGATTGAGAGAAGAAAGAAAGTAAAGTTAGACTGGAAACTTAACTAATAATGTTCAGACAGCACAGTCAAAGGCCGCTCTGAACAAATATGCTTTTAAATTTGATTTAAAGCAGCTGAAAGTCTCAGATCTTTATAGAGTTTTCAGTGGAAGGACTGTAGAACTGGGTTGATGTGCTCTACTTTCTGATTATAAAGAATCCATTAAAAGTATGCATAAATAGAATTATATTTAGAAATGTTTTAATATTTTAGATTCATGCCAAATGTATAACTTCAAAAGCATTTATTAAAACACAATGGTTCTGTGGATCTGCAGTGGCTGCGGCTAGGGCTTTTAAGGCAGGAACCTCTACAGGAGAGAAACACCGGTTAGTGATCGCACAAATTTTATGGAGGATGATTATAAACGCACGAGTCACTAATCTGGTTTGACAGTTCAGTTCGTGCCCAGAGAACGTGGATGAGAGAGTTTCAAACGCTGAAGCCTATGAGGCTCCAGAACTAGCAGGAAGTCAGATCTGAGAAGATGAAGGAAGACAGGATAATCCAGAGGAGGAAGTCAGGAGAGAGATAAAGGTTTAGTCCACAGCAGAATTCAACAGGAGTCCAATGATAGGTCAGACAAACAGATCAGAGAGGGGTAGGCAGGCTCAAAGGTCCGAATGCAAAAACGGGTTAGGATCAGGCAATAAGAACACTATTGGAAACGCTAGAAAATTATCTACACCAAAGGCTGAAGAATAATCTGACGCAGATGAGTGTGAGCAAGCATCATAAATAGAGGCAGGAGCAGGTGGATCAGATGAGCAGTAATGAGAAACCAGGCAGAGTTAGACAGGGCAATGATATGAGTAATTAAGCCAGTCATCAGAGACTTGACATGAGGGGGCCCAGAATTGGGATTGGTTAAAGAAAGAGGGGCTCTATCTTAAGAGATCTGGATACAGCATTTCAAAACAGATGAGATCTGAGATATCTGATCATAAATTACAGAGTCTACGTTTGGAGAAAACCTGTCATGGAAAACCAGTCCAGCACAGTGGTAGAGAGCTTGTGATTTGGACTAGCTTTAGCTACAGGAGCTGGCTACATCCTAACTGGGTCATCAATGGGATTATGATCCTTAACACAGCAGCAGGCCATGCAATGGTTCAGTCAAAGTTTGAAAAAGCTTTGGGGGAGCTACAGAGAAACAAATGTCTGTAAACCTCAAAAGCAACGTTGGAGAGAATAGGGGATTATAGCTCCTCCATGGTGGAGGATCACAGCAGCTTCACTGCAGGTCTTCATTTCACTTCATGTTTTAAGTAAAATAGGGTAAAATTTCAGAGTTGGTAAAGCTTGAAAACTCCTTGTTACTAAGCCTAAATTCAGCTGCTGACTTAAAAGTATTCTTAGGTCCCTAATTTATTTTGCCACTGTCACATTAAAGCAGCATTCATTATATGAAGTGCATCAGTCTGAGCGACACCTCCTTCTTGAAAATGTCACGGCTCTCTCAGAAATTAAGCTGTTTGCCATTTGGTGCAGACAGACCTGCTAATTTCAGAGTGTCAGCTTGCTGAAAGCCTCACGGGGTCACAGGTGACAGCTCATCAATTCCAGCCAGTCGTAATTTGGGGTTTCAGTGACGAGATGACAGCTAAATGAAGTATAGTTCCAGCGACTCTCATATGCACCCACCTTTAACCAGGAGAGAGAGCTCAGGCACCAAGGACGAATGCTTCCTTTCCTCAAGCCGTCACCAGATGATGAGACACAACTTGGGTCCCTGAACTACCGGAGCCCCGCAGCTCAAATAGATCTCACCTTGAGAGACGTCAGAATGATTTCAGCCCGCAGGACCTGAGGTTCTTGTTTATAATAAGTTGTTTCCACAATTTTTCAGCCGCTGCGGTATTTATGATTCATAGATTCAGTGTGGACGCGCTTCCAGAGGGGCTTACAGGAGGACAATCTTTCATTTCAAGTTATCTAGATCAACAGTTTTACAAACTTTCAGAGGTTTTTTTATTTCTTCTTTTTTTGAGTTTTCTTGCTTCCTTATTTTCATTTATAAAATTTTCTGATAACTTTAAGAGGGTTTTGTCTTCTCTGTTTAATCATCAAGTGAGAATAAAGGCTCCTAAATGCAATCAGACAACTAACCACTCAATTAATAGAAGAGTCCCAAGAGGAGAAATATTTTTTAAGTGCGGAAGAGAGGATTCCTAGTTCATTGTCACAAATTCGTGTCGGTTTATCCAAATCTATCCAATTTATTGAGGCACTTCTGAAAACGTGCAACGAAAACTGATGTTTTTAAGTAGATGTTTTAAGCTTGATTTTCAATTTTAAGATTTAAATCAGCAAAGTTATCAGCAGCTCTGATGGGTTAAAAGTGCTGATCTGTAAAACATTCATAAAGAACAATCACAGTTCCCCATGTACTGGAGGAAATCACACTGCTGAGGAAAACAGA